TCCTGCTGATGTCAGGTACCCAGACATGTTCAGTGCACCACTCGGAAGTGACACCAGAGCATGTAAATAACACAAGTGGGTGTGTTTTGGTAAAAAGAGACAATTTTGGCTGGGGAGATGCGGGCAGCCTAGCAGGATGCTGGGGTGAGCAGTGTAACAGTTAGTGGGCTACAACCACCTTGAGGGAAACAAAGCAAAAGTGATGCTGCTGAGAAAATAAGAAACAAAAAAGAAAAGCAGCACGCCGGTAATGCTGGTAGCGACACACCCACCCAGGCAGGCACTCCGGGCCGGCTCCAGCGCCGCTCACAGCACCCTGCTGGGGTTCGGAGGGAGCCCGCAGAAAAAAAAAAATGTGGTTTTACGGTGCGTCGCAGGGCGGGGGTTCAACCCGCAGCCTGGGTGCCGGCTGCCCTTCGTCTTTCAGGGAGCTGCATTATATTTTTTCAATCAGTTAAATGTAAAGCCCTGACAGTTTGCCAAAGTACTCCTGGGTTAATTTTTTTACTTTTTATTTTTGAAGATTCTGAAATTAATCCTAGCTGCAAACAACCATTTCCAGGAAGCCCCATTAGCCAAAATACAATCTCCACTATCAAGTGCACGCATGACTGTGATACGTAATCCCATTCACTCACACAACCCTCCTCCCCGACTCTACTTGTGTTAAAGTGTTAATTAAACACACTTTTATGGATGGTTAAGTATCTGCAATCTTCAGTCACAGATCTGACCTCCTCAATTATTGGAAGCAGCCACCAGATTATAGCCTGCACTTTATATAATATACACAGCAGCAATAAATCTATATGAGAGTAATACATAATTTACTATGATAACCTTTGCACAGTCAATATAAATACAAGAAAAAGTTGCCCAGAAAAATATATCGGAATAGCTATTGTACCAAGTTGAATAACCAAAAGACCAGCCTTTATCTGAGGAAGAAATCTTCCCAGGTCTGTTAGATAACAGATGTTTAGCTGAAAACATCAAATCAGCTTTTTAAGTCGCACAACATAAAACACCGCAGGATTTCAACAGGCCTAAGTAAAACTCGCTAAGGCAGTGGATGATTTCTGTGGCTCTCAAGGGGACAGGACCTTTCCTTCTCTGCTACTCAGTTTTCTCCCTTTCGAGTTCTGCACAGTCTATTTATTCCTGTCTCTTGCTCTGACAGTAGCCTCTTGGGTTTTTATTACATTATCAAGGGGAAAGGCTATTCACAAACCACAATCTACTTTTTAGCTTAATTGCTAATAAGTAGGCTATTGCACTTTGTTGCCCATCTAGCAAGGCTTTAAGATTAAAAGAAATATTCTACTACAGCAAATAGTTGCTGGGCCAATGTAACTCTGAATTTACCCAGATTCTATACTAAGGAACAAACTAAATGCGTTTAAATAAGACAAATTTAATGTCATCATGTAAAATATATCAAGAAGAGAGGAACTTAATATTTTAGAGGGGCAAGGGTGATACCTGGTACCTGGAAGAAGTGACACAAGGCGGGAAGCAACAGAAGAAATGCTTATTTGGATTACAACAACGTATGTTGGCCCTGCCTTGCAAACGCATCTTTTCTTGCTGGAAACCTAACGAAGACTTCAAAATTTAGGGACAGTTCCTCAACATCTGCAAACCGACTTCAACAAAGTTATGACAGTCTGCAGCCGGGGAAATCGTCTCCCCCAAGCAGGGCTGTGCTGGGGTACGGGCAGGCTCACGGAGGGACCCGTCTCCTCCCGCCGCACAGGCCAGCAGGGCTGGGCGGGAGGACGTGGCAGTGATTCCAGTGAACAATATTTTATCACACTTTATCCCGAGTTTCACACACCACAATCCATCGATTTTTCATAACGCCAGTTTAACATCCTACCCCTCTAGTGAACAAATGGTTAAAATTAAGGAAGGCATTATATATTCTTTCAAATCTTATCTCTTTACAGGTTAAAAACTAAAACTGAAATAAACCAAATGATATTCTGTTCTGATTTACCGACTGGAAATGCAGAATAACATCTGAAATGAATGCAGCAATGCCGGCTCCCCAGGAGCGACACGAGCACTGACTACCTGCTGCAACGTCATGACATTATTTTCTGAAGTTCTGATAGAGATGGCGATGGGAAAAGCCAGCTTTTGTAGAGAAGCCTTTAGTTTAATTATTCAGACAGCAAAACTTATAAACATTAGAATATACAGAATTACTAAAGCTGATTTGACCTGAGGGGGAAAAACTTACAGGCAGAAGACGGGAATAGTCCTCCAGCAGCATTAAGCCTTTTTCTAAAAACCTCTATTGCCATTTTAGAAGCACAAGATCCACTTTCTGGGCCATCATCCACAACAGAGCCCTAACCGAAGGCAGGCCGAAACCTGGCCATTTTACAAGCAGATAACATCAAACTAAAGTTAAGCTGCGGGACAGATCCCTGAACACAAACACCAGAAGCTGCTCGCCTCCAAAGCCTGTGACCCAGAAAAAGGAAGGAGCATCCTTACATTAGATATTAGGGTTTGATGGCCGGAGGAGTAAAGGCAAACTTAGAAGACGGGGAGACTGGAAAAGAAGCTCCTCCAGCAAATTTGGAGCAAAGCAGGCGCTTGCTGCCGAGCATCTTTCCTCCTTCCCACTCCTGCCCTCGGCTTGGACAGAACAGCACCCAGGTATTTTAGAAACAGGTCTGCAGTTTGTCAGGAAAAAAAAAAGCACGTGTAGGTGCCTACACGATACCTGCAACATACTTCAGCAGTGAGAGAGGCCACGAAACTTCTCCGTAAGGAGAGGGTGAACTCACCAGAGGTGACATAGATCCATTTGGCAGATAAGGGTCTGAGAGCATTAGGAAAGGGTAGCCAGAATACGCAGATCCTTTATACATCCCTGGGTCCTGATGCTTCATACCTGCTAAAATTAAAGTTCCCCATCAAGACTGGCCTTACAACAGGTGATTCCTCTGCCTGTCAGGGGCCCTTGAAGAGGTTACAGCACATTTTGGGAGTCTTTTTGCCCCATACTCCTCAGACAGGGAGTGGGGGGGTGCCAGGGCCCCCGGGGGTGCGGGGTCCCACAGGGGTGCACTGGGAAGCCCCGCTGCTGACAGGAGCGGCTTTCCCCGGGGGTGCTGTGGCGGCCAGGCCGGCGTCCCTCACTCCCAGGGGTTGTGGGGTGGCAGTGCAGGGACCAGGGGGTTCACCCACCCCGGGGATGGCGAGCGCTTGGCCGGCTCGGCTGGACGGGGCGAGGCGGGGGGGGGCAGCGGGGCCGGGGGGGGGGGGCCCCCCCCCCCCCCACAGCCCCTTTTGACAATACCTGAGTGAAAGGAGCAGGCAGACCTGCAGATGGTGGGCAGGTCCATCCAAGAGCCTGGGTCATAAGGCAATATTGCAGTGAGGTCAAGCTAGGAAGTCAGTCTGTGGGTCAGGATCAGTGGGTCCATGGCTCAACTGAAGACCAGCATCCCCCAGCACGGCTTACAGAAAGGAGCAAAGGGCCCTGGCTGAGCTTAAATGGGCTCCCAGGCCCATGGGAGTGGGTGGAGGCACCAGGTGAGGCTGGTCAGGGCCATTAAGGCTTATCAATCCCTCAGGGCCCTGAAAAATACCACAATAGCAGGAGTCAGCTAAAGAAAAGATATTTACCAAGCTACTAAAGCCTTGACACTTTTCCCAGCTTAAATGCTAAGCAAGATCTGCTGACAACTTTCTTTCCAACTATTCCAAAAAGCAGGACTAAGGAACTACTATGAGAAGAGAAGTCTTCCTTTTGTTTAAAATAAAAATAAAGTTACAGGGAAAATTTAAAAATAATTACCACTGACAGATATGAGGATCCATGTACACGATTATATTAAAGGTTTTGCAGAAGACCACACTTTGGGAAGCTTGTTCTAGTAGGTGTCCGCAGCTCTGCATGCATATGAAATCCTTTGAGTTTGGATCCACGCAGTGTAAAAAAAACAAGCAAGACAGTTTAGCAGCACATGCTTTGAAGCGTACTAACTACTGCCACCGCATGATGCGGAACCTTCTTGCCAGTCACTTGCTATGGGATAACTCTAAGATTAGGCCGGCGAAGGCTGACATGTGAAATCTGTGCCACTTACTTAACTGCTCTGTCAAAATGAATTGTGCTCCTCTTGTTGCATTAGCCTAGAGAAACAAGTGGTGGGGCCTTGGCTGGCATATGCTGATGGATTGGGGAGTGAGCCTTTCCCTCCATGTGGCAGGATGACAAAGCCTCCAGGGGGGAGGCACAGGGCTCTGCTGCGGTCTCTTCATGTCAGCTGAGGACCTTCTCAAACTGGTCTCTGAAGGCTGATGCTCCCACACGGTCCAGCATGCAGGAGCCCTTGGGTAGCATGGTGCCAAGACTGCTTTGAAACCAGATAGTTTTGAGGGTGCCTGAATGATGACTGAGATGACAAGCTGACTGGACAAGGGCTCACGAAAAAGTAGGCCACCAAAAGTTTCTAATTAAGATAAAAATACCTTTGTAGTCTTTGTAGCGAGGGAGGTGGGCGGCTGTGGGGGCTCGGTGCAGCCCCGGCTCCGTGCGCGCATCTGTACACGCACATGGACGCACACGCTCACACGTCTGTCCACACACCTGTGCCCCCACCCATGTCTGCACATACATCTGTGCGCGCGCACACACTTCTGCACGCGCTCATCTGCGCGCACATCTGCGTAACCACATCTGCACACGCGTCTGCCTATGTAGGTGCTTGTTTGCGCACACACAGCCGCACGCACATCATGCAATGCACACACCTTCACACGCGTCCACGCATAGCTCTGTGTGCACACGTCTGCGTGTGCAGTCTGTACCTCGTGCATCAGCACACACGGTGCAGCCCCTCATGCATCTCTACAGCTGTCTGTATGTACACCTACACGGACATCCGTACACACACATCAGCGTGCACATCTACACATCTGACACACGCGAGCACCCACACACCTACACGCACACCAGTGGGAACCACACATGTCCCTGAACACATCAGCACAAAGGAGCACGCAACTGCACACATCAGCGTGCACACATCTGCACACACAAACACATTTGCACGCACAAACACATCTGCACACTCACATTTGCCCATGAATCTCCAAGCACAGATCAGCAGCACAACTAAACACAGAGGACAGAAGTCTTTACGTGGAGCTGCAGGCACAGAGCAGCACGTATATGTGTGCACACGCAGACACATCAGGACGTGTAGGTGTGCACACACAGGCACACAGCAGCACATGTGTGTGTGCACATACAGACACATCAACACACGTGTGCGCCCACAGATACGCATCAGGACGTATAGGTGTGCACACAGAGGCACACAGCAGCACGTATACGTGTGCACACGCAGACACATCAGGACGTGTAGGTGTGCACACACAGGCACACAGCAGCACATGTGTGTGTGCACATACAGACACATCAACACACGTGTGCGCCCACAGATACGCATCAGGACGTATAGGTGTGCACACAGAGGCACACAGCAGCACGTATACGTGTGCACACGCAGACACATCAGGACGTGTAGGTGTGCACACACAGGCACACAGCAGCACATGTGTGTGTGCACATACAGACACATCAACACACGTGTGCGCCCACAGATACGCATCAGGACGTATAGGTGTGCACACAGAGGCACACAGCAGCACGTATACGTGTGCACACACAGACACATCAGGACGTGTAGGTGTGCACACACAGGCACACAGCAGCACGTATACGTGTGCACACAGACACATCAGGACATGTAGGTGTGCACACAGAGGCACACAGCAGCACGTGTGTGTGTGCACAGAGACACACACACGTGTGCGCACACACACGCGTGCACACACCAGTTGCGTCTTCACGGCCGCGGGTGCTCGCAGGGCAGCCAGGCACGCGTGGGTACCGATGGACACACGGCGCGGCCGCAGCGCGCACCCCGGGCACTGGGCGATGCCCGCAGCGCCCAGCTCCCCACCATCGCTCCCTCATCCCCGGCCCCTTCGGAGGCACAGACGTGACGTCGGATTGCAGAAAATTATTAGTTTTCCTGACTGGCCCCGAGGGTCAGGAAACATGAAATTACCATCTTCGCAGCCAATTTCGAAGACACTAGACACTTCTGTGTCGGCGTCGGAGTTTTTTTTTAAGCAGTTCCCATGGAAAAGGAAACTCCCCATCTCTTCTGATCACATACGACAGGTCCTGTGCATGTCTCCGGTAGCTTAAAACAACACACCGATATTTATTTTCCTTAATTAAGATTGCATAAGATAGCCCTGGGTCCTGGAGACTTTTCTACAGACTGTAATGACGCCATGTAAATTGTTTTTTATGACCCAATATACTACATATTGTCACATTCAGCCCTTGAATAGGAAGCTAAAAATCTCGGTCCCTATTTTTCTTGTTAATTAGGGTATTATTACTAGGGATATAATCTCATTACTTTTTGGGGAGGAGAAGAACGAGTTGGAGCCACTTTGAAAAGTACTGAATATATTTAAATGAAGCAAAATCCGTCTTTCTGCTAATTGCTGATTTTGCATGACATAGAATTATTGTTCTGATTTAGGGGGCACAGTTTACGCTAGGCTAAAGGAGACGGGAGAGGGAAAGGATGCTGTTTGCTTTTTTCCTGCTCAGCTCTCCCATCCAAATGAACGAGCGGGCTACCCCATAGGAAACTCCTTCTGCAAATTTCCATTCTTTTAAACATCACAAAAATAAAATAAGCTGCAGCCACTTTGAGTAATAATCATTTGAATGAAATATTTGCTACTTTAAGATTTTTTTTTTTCTTTCAGATGATCCTCTTGTTTTGCATGTGAAAAAAATCGTCTGAGATTTACAGCCCTCCCAAATGGAGATAAAGCCTTGGCAATGAGTTGGAAACCTGTTGTAATCTGTGATCCAGGAAACAAAGAGCCTCATTAATGCAGAGACTTTGGTGAGCCTTTGATGTTAGCTAGCATAGCATTCACTCTCAGTTCCATTTGCATTTAAACATTCATAAAAACATCATCTCTGCTTCCTTTGCCTTAAGCAATTTAGGAGTAAAGTATAGCTTCTATTTAAAGAAACCCACTGTGGTGAGGCTTAGAATACAAATATCACATAATCTTCGAGCAGAGCAAATATTTTATCCTACATTTCTGGTGGGCACATTTAATAATATTGTATTTAAGACCCAAAATAAAAGATCCATCTTATTTTCATTAACCTTACACCACATATTTGAGTGAAAAGAGAAAAGGGGCCCTGTTAATTCTAAATATACTACGTACCAATTTGGGGAAGTAAGAGAATCCAGAGGATTTTACATTATTCACAAGAGCTGAATTTTTGAAAAGTGCATGCCTACAGCAAGGTGCCTCAATCTGTATTTACGCACACAACACCAAAAATTTTGAATAAGGTTAGTTTTTTATACATATGTAGTTTTCTGAACTGCAGAATCTTCACCCTCGTTTTAGAATGGAGTAAAAAAAGATTTTAATTTTTTTTTTTTATTTTTAGCGAACAGAAGTATAAAAGTAAAATACTAAGAAATTAGAATAAGCCTAATGTGGAGATTTGCTTCCAAGAGAAGGCACTGTTGTTCCCAGATGGCATCCTGAGGGAATGGCAGCATGCGTGGAATTTGGGGAATCACTTAGAAAACAAAGGCCTATCTATGTTATTATTTTCAAAAGCTTTATTCACCAACACACCTATGAGAAGTGAAACAGTGCTAAAAATATTGGAGTCAGCTTGACTTGATGCTTGGAAATATTCCACTCAGGTTGTCCACGTTGACTGTACCATTAAAAATAACAGAGCGAGTTGAAATTGATCCCGTGTCACATCGGAAGCTCTTTATGTTTTCACTCTTCGGAGCAAATATAAGGA